GCCTATCAGCTACACCTTTACATGCCTCTGGATACAAATGCAAATAGGCTTGAGAGAGAAACCCATCAGTAGTCCCTGGAGCCAATTATTTCTGAAGGCTGGGTTAAATCTGACCAGCTGCGGGCATTGTGTCACCTGAATAAAGATCCTGGATCTGGGACAACACATAACTATTTTCCCTTTGTTTCCAGGTGCCCCAGCTGATTGTTCCCGTCCAATATGAGCATTCTGTAGTTCCCAAACGCGTCTATGATCTGTGATAATATGATAGAAGATTTTCGTTACATGCATATCCTGTTTAGGTTGTGATCCCTGATATGACAGTAGCTGTCCATAGGGGACATGCAGCAGAACAGAGATGACAGACCCAAGAGCCCATTTCTTTAGCGATATAGGCCTTTCAAAGAACTTCTTTTCCTCTCTACCCTCACTTTTACTGCAGTCTTGAATAAAAGAACCCAAGAGTTGGCTTCTGGCCATCACATCTGAAAGAGCAGCCTAGACTATCATTATGATTAAGCACATGAGCAGTGTAATTCTGTGCTATTGCCGAAACAGTCACCAAAGGGAAGCTGGAGTCAAATCTCCCTACACCAGAAAGGAAATTGCTTTCCTTTGCCCTTCCTAAACAACTAGTTTCATAAGACTAGTTAATTTACAGGGAAGAATGTTGAAAGAACAAGAGCTGGAATCAAAGTTTTCTTACCTGCTCTGCAGGACTGAGGCTGACACACAGAACAAGGTTTGTGCATTACAGCTGTGTTATGGTACACAAGACAACACCCAGGTCACAAATCGAATGCAAACAATTTTTAAATCAACAGAAACGTCAGTGTAGATAGCACATGCACACAGCTGTACAGGTAGGTTGTGGATTCCAACAGCAACTACAATGTCCATGGATGGCCCCTCATACTCAGACAGAATTTCAATAAAGCTTTTCCAAAAGAGCAAACATGAAATTTGTACTAAGGCAGCTGTAGGACCCAGAGCCCAGCTTTAACGCTGGTGTAACTATTCATGCAAATGAGCAGCTCATTAGTTTCAGTTGGTTACTGATGTGTCTCCAGTTAATGACAGAGGCATGCCTTGCCAGGATGGGGTTTACTGTTAGAAAAAATTGTCAAACTTTGAACTTGAGCATTTAAAAGCACACTTTAGCCACTCCTGTGTGTTACATCTTGGAGTTTGCATTTTAAGTTATGACGCTATTGAAGCTGTTAGCATACATTTCTCTTAACTAAAAAAAGTTTTAAACTACTACAAGCTCACACTCCATCCTAAGGGTAAAGGTTTTCCAGCTAACATCTTAATGTGAATTAGATATGACTAAACCCAAATGCTATTACATGTAATGAAATTAAGGCTCCACTTCAACATGCCGTGGGAGAAAACTGATTTCCTTTGTAGCATGTGGTTAGAGAGGCAATGTAAGAACTGTTTCCATAAAAATGAACAGAAATCATGTAAAAGCTTTGATGCATAGCATTCACATGGCAAAGTAGGATCTAAAGTTCATTTACCATCGAATCCAGCACTTTTATGTGTGCAAGTGCTATCTCCACCTCATTTACTAAGCCTTTTAATTCCTCGTCTCCCCATGCCAGAAAGGAAGAAACACCTATGCAAACTTCCTCTAGACTCACACCAAGAATAATCTTTTAAAACTCTATAAAACCTCAGTTGTCCAGGAAGTGCAGCAACACCCAAGAACTCCATTTTATTTTTAAGTTAATAGACAGTCATAAAATTTTGTTTATATTTATATTTAAAGGGTTGTCTATTTTGATTCCCTCTTTTCAGTTCAAGGTCCATGCACATTGGATCCAGTGTAATTTCTCCGCAACGTGAAAATACGTCCCAAAATTCTTTCTATTCTACTTGATTTTCAATATAAAAATCAACTTTTGCTTGTCCTAACAACATTCTTTCTCTCCATTTATGTATTTACATGCACCTCATACATATACAGATTTTACAGAACTATTTATAATATTTGAATTCAAATTTATTGAAATCAAATCAAATAATTTCCAGGTCAGGTAAGATAAGGAAGTGAATTTTATTTTTTTTTTTTAAACTAAAATAGATGCTTTTCTTCAATGCACCTGTTCAAAGGCCAACTTTAAAATGAGTTAAGCCAAAAGGTTACCAGCCTTTCCAAATAATGAAAGTTTTGAACATCCAAACTTCATACTGGAAAGCCAGAAAACCCACCCAATACAGCACCCTTATAGTTCTTTAACTGAAACACAACCATTTTAAGAAGAAATTCCAAGGAACAGTACAGAGACACAGTAAAACACCAATCCTGAAGGAAACTGGAAACATCATGACATGTAAATGTTTTTCATTACACCCTTTTCCCCTAAATATAAAGGACCTTTAATCTCTATCCCCACAACTCTAGATTACAATGTCTCCATGTACTCTAAACGAAATGCAAAGTGCTTTGGTTGTTAGTCAACAACAGAATTGTTAATACTAGAAGTTGTGTGGTTTGGGTTTTTCTTCTTATGAAAGAGTCAAGGCATACTTCCAACACAAACATGAGCCATCTACTAATTTTCAAGGCACCATCCTAAATACATAGGTGTTTTAAGGAGTCAAAGTGTTTCATTTAAACACAACTGAACAGACACACATAAACACCTTGCTATTGCCACATTCTTATCAGAAACAGTTGAATATCACTGAAACCTTCCCACAAAAACCAGTCCAAAGCATGACAAAAATATTTCCAGCAACAAAACCTGTTGTCATATCATAAGCCTTACTCACCAGGCAGTAGAACTTCCAGCTCCAACCACAGCTAACAGATCTTACAGAAGAAGTAACTCCTGACAGAAATTCTTTAACACCCAATTTTTCACTCACACATCTTAGCAAACTTTGTTTTTCACACTGTCAATTGGCAATATCCAGTTCTTTTTCCTGAACAGCTTTGCCAGGTTTATCTGCTTGGGCACAATTCTAGGCTATTCAAACCCAAAATTATTCCTTTCTTGCACAGCTGCTAAACACCAAGATGTTACATGCCAAGAGTATATAACACATAACTTCTTTCCTAGATTTTCTGAGAATATTTAAACTAAGTGCAGCATTTATCTTACAGAAAAATCCTTTTTGCTCAAGTCTTTAGGCACAAGGCAATCAAGTGATTTTCCATGGTCCTGGCTCTGAATTCATTAGAAGTAGGGCTCACACTGCAGCCTATAAAGTTCAAGCGATAGACTGAAAAAAATTAAAGGGAGATAAAGAAAGGATTCATAGATGTGACAAAAAACAAAACTAATTTCACTGCAGGTGTTACACATAAAGACACTAATTAATACAGCAGTATTTCTGTTTTTTCTCATCTCAGACAAAATAATTGCTTTCCTTTTTTGCTGAAAAGAACTTTAAAGCTATTTCTGAACGAAGAATTAACAGTTTTGGTTCAATCTTGAGCTTATAAAGGCTGAGGAAATAGCATTTTTCTCCTGGTTGTTCCTCAAATCTACTTAGTTAATGCAAGTGAATAAAATTCTAACAGTGGATTGCTTCCTCTTAAAAAGGCTTCATATCTCTTTTGATTTGAGGCCAAGCAGAAGCTGAGTAACTGTTATTTATATTTGAACAGTTTCACTGTTATCCCTTACTTCCCTCCTCTCCCAAAAACAACTCTCCATCATCTATAACGGAATCAAACAGGGCTTTCCAACCTCCAGGTATTAAAAATTCCCATTGTTTTTTAGAATAGGTATTTCAGTTTGAGATAATTTGGGGTACTTTGAAAGCCAATGTTTCAATAATTCTTGAATTAATAAGTAAAAATAATAATATTCTTGTCTTCCTCAAAATGCTATCTACAAAATAAGATAAGCTTCCTACTTTATTAACTGATACAGCTGCTACTATACATAAAAAATACTCTTTTCAAAGGTTTTTTTGCAAGAAAACTTAAGTAGTTTTCCTGTTACTACCTTTAATTTTGATGCCACTTTAGTTAGTGCAGTTTGACAATTAAAGAAAAAACACTTAAATACAAACAGCACTTGCCTCTAAAACTAAAAACTTGCTTCATAATCGCCATTTAGCAAATGGAAGTCACCATATCGTCACCAGAAAAAACATTTCTGCATAAGTTCATTAATTTTACTGCATGCAGTCAACAAACACTTTCCCCAAACCCTTGCTAGCTAGAGATAATTGACGATCATTGAGATTATTTGACTGCACTAATTACATTAAATGACCTCCTTAATATCCTCTACTTCGCACTATAGAATTCGAACAGTAACATCTGTTCGTGTCTCCTCTTCAAAAGAAAACATTCTCTAAGCCGCCGACACTATGAAGCGGATTTTTTTTTTTTTTTTTTTTTGCGATTATATAACTTGTTTCTTTCCGAGCGCTGCTGCAGCATGTTTTACTGTCAACTGACAGAAACGAAAGCCTTGTGCTGGGAGCGAACGCAGGACTTTTCTTGCGGGGTTTCTTTCGCCGGTGCGAAAGGATTCCCCCGGTCACAGCTGGTTTTGGAGCTGGCGCCCGTGGGGGTCCGTGCCCAGCCCGCAGGCAGGGAGCGGGGCAGGGGCACTCGCCGAGCTCCGTGGGCAGCCGGGCTGTGCCGCTCCTGCCCGGCCGGAGCCGGGCTCGCCGGCCCCACGCACCTCGCCCGCCCACCCGCGAACTTTTCCGAGCGGCTGCCCGCGCCCGCTCTACCCCGCTCCCACCGCCTGCCGCAGCGGCTCAGCCCGGTGACCCCACACTCACCGGCGGGGCCCCGGTACCGTGGGTGTGTGTGGAGAGCCCCGCTGCCTCGCTCGGAGCAGGTGCTCCGCTCCTCCGGCCGCCAGCCGGGCTCTGACGGGGGCGGCCCGGGCAGTGCCTCCCCTCCGGACGGGCACGGGGCGGGAGCCGCCGCTCGGCTCGGTCCGGTTCCCCCTGCTCACAGGAAGGCGCGGGGGCAGAGACCCCCGGCGCCAGAGCGCTGCTGCCTCTGGAGCGCCGCTCACCTCCTAGGCTGCTGCTGCTGCCGCCCCTGAAGAGTCTCGTCCCCCTTCTCCTCCTTCTCCTCCTCCTCCATGGTGCCGCTCCACCCCTTCCCCGGCGGCGGCTCTATAGGTCTCCGGTAGGAGCCGTTGAACGGCTGCGGCGTTCCACCTGACCAGCCAGCCGCTGAGGGCAGCGCGACGAGCTGCACGGAGTAGCTCCACAGCGCCCGGCGCCGCGCCATGGCGAGCCGGGGCTCCGCGACGCCCGGCCCCTCACCGTGGCGGGCAGAGGGCACCACACCGCCCGGTCCCGCACCGTGGAGCGGCGCCGTTAGCAAGATGGCGGCGGGGGGCCGTGTCTGAGGGACACGGGCACTCCCGGAGCCACGGCGGGACGGTGTCAGAGCTGCCGGCACGTTCTGCCCCTGGAGGCCGGGCTGCTCCTCGGCACCGCCGAAAGTGAAGCACTCCGTTGTGCTCCTGGCCGGCCGCGATGGGCGGTAAGCGCTGCCTGCAGTCCCGTTTGGGAACACGGGCATGCTCCGACCACCAGGTGCTGCGGGACAAAGTTTCCTGGGCTCGGTTGTCTGGGCAGCCCGGGCAGTGCCGCCATGCCCGGGGTACCGGCACTCACGGGAGCTGCGTTGTCCGGGCGAGGCCAAGCTCCCGCAGAACAGCCCACCCTGCAGGCACCTGCATCCCTTCGGCCTTGCGGAGGTAAAACTCGTGTCCAAGTCACTTCACGTGCTGGGTTACAACCATCCCCTTGCTCCCTGCTCACATCTGACACAAGTTTCCAGACTATGGGCTGAGAATTGAGGCATTTTGAGGCACCCAGCCCAGAGGAATTGGGTTCTCAGAAATAAATGTGTTATTTTTAAAATACTTCCTTAGGGACAGTGGACGGCAAAGAGCAAAGCTATGCAGGTGTGATGTGAAAAACATCGGGTATTATCTAGCAGTGATATGAAATCTAAGACTATCTGGAGCTCTGATAACATGTTTGTGTCCATTTTATCTTGAACCTTAGGACTGGATGTATGGTTCATTGGTAAACAATTCCTACCTATGTCCAAGGCCAAAGTTCTCAATGCTTGTCTTGGCAGACTGGAAATACAGGCCTTACTCTTTTGTTATCTGTTATTCTCTTAGTTTTCTTAAGGTAAAGGAATCATAAAACTATCAAGCTGCCTTGTTCCGTGTGAGTTATTTGCTTTCTACATTATTTACACAGTGATACAGATATATATTGGTTGCTTATGGTCAGGAAGATTTGCTGACCTTTGCCAGTGGAAATTCCTAATTTATTTCTTACTTCTGCTCCTTCTTGCCTGATATTTCCTGATCGTGTCATCTACCACTATATCTAATGCTAAGTTGGCCTGTAGCAATGACTTTACTCATAATTATTGAACACAAATCTATATTGATTGAAGTTATTTCTGCTGTTACTTTATGGGGTCTAAGATCTCCTGAATGATTTAGATAATAAAGCTGTTCTGAACAATGACCAGTAACAGTAATAATTACTGCCTGTGTATAGGAATCTGTGTAAGCCACTAGGTAAGTGCCTCCAGGCTGGTAGTAGCTGGTTCCCAACAGCAGCAGATTTGGGATGCTCATCTTATACTTCAGCTGAGTATCTCCTAGTAGGCAGCCCTGGCTCCACATGTGGTGTGGAAGTAGTTTGTGTATCACCAGTGCTACAAAAGCCACAGCTTGGGAGGCTCTGCTTTAGTAAATGCATTTTTTCTGTGCTACAAATACAGATGTCAATGGTTGGAGGCTGTAAGTAAAGACACCTGGTATCTGTGCAGCATGCAATTTTCAACTTAAAAGGAAACATGCCCGGTGAAGAATGATACTTCTTTTTTTCTTGTTCAAGTGTCTATCTGACACTGCTAGAAGTATATCAGTGTATTACCAACTGTGCCCCACCACCATGCACAACATGAGAACATTCCACTCCAGAGGTGCTGTTCAACAGAACAAGGATTTTAAACTAGTTTCCTGCTTCAGTATTCCCTGGAGCCAGTTGAGATCTCAGTCTAGTATGGCTTCTTGGGTGGGTTTTGATTTTTCCATGTCTTACACACACAAACACATCTAAACTGAGGAAAAGTCCCAAGGGAATATTTGTGCTGAAGTAGTTGTGTAGACCCAGCACAGGGATCTCTCTGACTCCTAATACTCCTCAGACATGCTAATGTGTTCAGAGGACTGATGTTAGGATCCTGCAGGGGTTCGGAGCCAGAAGTTACTGACAGATGGGAAGGCTCCAGCCATCTGTACCTGAGGTAAGAGTTTTTGCTTGGCGTCTCATCTTAAGAAATGGAGATTTAATAATTTTATTTCCATCAGTGGCATGTACTCCTGACTACTCATGCGCTTTTGCTACTCAGACTGACCCTATATATTGTCCTCTGTTTATGAAAGTAGAAAAGTTATGAGAGCTTCTTGGTACTGCAGAGAAGCACAAATACGATAGGAGAGTGGGGTTATTTAGGGGTCAGTGCATTTCTTTTTCCTCACAATGAAATTTAACTGTTGAAACAGAGCAATTTTTTATTGAAATTTTTGGGGTATACCATTTCATTAACTACTTGGAAGCATAAGTTCCTTAAACTAGCTTAATTTGTTTAATGCAACAACCTGTATCTTAATTGGAATTGCATGGTTAGTACTTCATGAATTTTATCTGCAGTGGTGTCTTTCCCTTAGAGATAGTGCATTAATCATGGGCAGGACAGCTTGACTAACTTGATTATAAAATTGCTTTTGATGAAAGGTTTAACCTTCTTCACAACTGAAGTTTATCAGTATATTGTTTTGATCTCTCAAGTGTAGTGTTAATATCTTTTTCACATAGTCTAATTTAGTTGGTTGACATAAGCTGTGTCAGAGCAAGATACTCACTGTCTTGGCCAGTAACTGAAGCACAATCTAAAGCAAGAAAAAATAGAAATTCTTACAGTTAAAATGTTACAGCTTTATAACTGAACTATCTGAACATAATTGAAAATCCTCTTAGATGACAGAGTAAAAATGTTGTGCCATCTCTCACTCCATCCTAGAATATCAAGTCATAGTTCAAAATCCCTTTTGGCTGAGGTTTGTTATATGCTGGGCAATGTTTACTGTTGTAGTGCAGATGCAGTTTATTGCAGAAAAAAACCCCACTTGCTGGAACAGTTGGTGCTGGATATCTGAGTGAAATAAACTATCCTAGAAAAAAAAAATTCACCACTCTAATATTGGCTATACAGGAAATTTTACAAGCATAGAAATTTAGCACCAAAAGAAATTCTACTAAGCTAGTAAAAGCCTGTCTGGCAAAACTGGCCCATATTGGGACATAACCAGAAAGCCTAACCTTGCCCTTCTAATTACCATGTGCAGAAGTAACCACCCTTGTGGTATCCACCCTCTTCAGGAGGGAACTTGAGGGGCAAAATTTACCTGGGACCTGCTGCAGGCAGAGGCAAGCAGAATTTCAAATCATGTTGGATGTTAAGGTACCCAATGAAAGAGTGTTACACAACCAGCTCATATATATATATATATATATATATGTGTGTGTGTGTGTGTATACAAACATACACACACACATAACTACTTCAATACTTCACAGTAATGTTTAATCAAAACACTAAATGGAATTATCTACAAAATTATATATAATAATGAAATTACTGTAAATGTTATGTTTACAATTACAAATCCAAATCTCTTACACCAAACAATTTGACAAATTTGAGGACTGTAGAGAAGGAACTTCTGAGTTAAAGGTAATGCTCAAAAGCACATTTTGTTTTGTTTTATGTGAAATATAATGATGATGGTATTTTAACAGATATTATGAATAATTTCAAATAAGTTAGGGTTTATATTACAATGAAAAATACATTGTGAAAGGGAAAAACAAGAAAAAAGAATTACTTTCTAAGTAATATAAAGTTACTGTAGGGAAATAATAATAAATAAGGAAGTTGTATAACAATGAGGTAAGTCACAGCTTCCTTGTGATTGCTTGTAGATATTCAGAATGATGACCATCCTTTTCCTTGCCTCCATAAAACCCTTTTTAGCTTTATCCTAAAGCATCATACAAATACAGGACTAGAAGGGGATTCAATAAATCACATTATCCAAACCACTACATTCAGTGAGGGTCTTCGATAACTGGAGTATTATTGTAACTGTCAGCATCCCATGCAAGCATGCTCTGTGCTATGTAGAGCTGCTTTCAGCTGCCAAGCTGCTGCTCTGGCACTAATGAAACTGCTGGGTTCCCAGGCTGAGGTCAGTACCCTGCTACTGCCCTCCTGAAATGTGTCTGAAACCTCTTCTTCATCCACAGCTCCCAGGAGGGAGAGAGAAAGGAAATCCACGTTGGTTTTAACAGCTGCCACTGAATAGAGGAGAGAGTTATAAATAAATGGAAATAAAGAATGAGGGCATGTGGCTGAAGCCATGACAGTCACTTTTTGGTGTGGCAATGGATAAGCAGTGCTCTGAGTGACAAAATGTCAGTCTGAATCTGTAGACACTATGATGATGTCAAAAGAGTCTCATTTGAATTTGGATTCATAAGGATCCTCTATTTAAATCCTGTCTGAACTACTGACAGGCTGCATGACCTTTTACAATATACGGAGCTCCATGGGTCAAATTGGTCTTTGCTGCAACTAAATTGACTACAATGAAATTATTCTGTGACTGAACTTGATTTCTCAGACATCAGTCAACACAGCTGGTTCACTGAATAAATGAAAGAAAGCAATCATAGATGTCACTGGAAAATAGATGCATCTGAACGGAGTCTTTTAGTTTTGGCAAAACTGGGGCAGAAATGCAAAACTGTTACTTAAAATACATAATTAATTGCTGATAGTGGGTTCTTGACAATGTAAACTTTCAAGGTAACAAAGGTGAGAAAGTGCCATTGTCTCTTCTAAAGGGAACGTAAATATTATATATGTTATTTAAAACTTGGAAAATTATGTATGCTTCTCTAAGTATTCTGGTATAGATTTTTAAAAATTAATAATGACAAGTGACTCAGGTATTTATGCTGAGTCATTTACATTACAATGCTACTCACTGGTAAGCTTCTCCCACAGAAAATGCTTTTAGAGTCAGGTAACAAAATAATTGTGTTAATTAATGAAAGGTAATTGTTATAAGAGTGTCAGGGGCAGAATGGGAGCTTCAGACAAAGTCTATTGGGAAGAGCCCCCTGCCCTGTTCAGTCACAATGTGCAGAAAGGACCCTCTTGCTTTCTAAACTCTTTCTCAAAAAGGAGTCTGGGTGGAGCTGGATCCAATCCTAGTCCCAGTCTTTCAATGGTTTATTTCTAAATTATTATATAGGTGTAATTGAGCCTTTATACAACTTTGTACCACAGAATTAAAGATGGCAAATCAAATAAATTTATATGAATAAAGTAGATAAGAAATTAAATTGATTATGATGATGAAAAGACTAAAATACCTTAATCAGAATTATTTACAGCACAGTATAGGTAGCTATAACTAC